GTTGAAGTCCACAAGTCTTAAAGTTGCCAAGACTGGACACCCCTGCTTTAGAGGCAGGGCTCTCCCACCTTGACAACTTTAAGCCTGGAGGATTTCAACTCCCAGAATTCCCCAGCCAGCTTAAAGTTGCCAGGGTTGGAGACCCCTGATCCAACCTAAGAAGATTAGGGAGAGATTATGACCGAAGCGACCAAGCCCTTCAGACACGTTTGCCTTCCTGAAGGAGACAGTCTACAGTCCTCATCTACTTCGTAGTCTATCCAGTTCATCTCATGGTCTTCTAAATTCGATATTATGTGACACCAGGAAGCCTCTTTCTCATCTGAGGATGAACAGGGCAGCTTCAAACTCAAGGGGGGCTCCTACACTACCCCCCCCAAAACAAATCACCCTCTCCCAGCATAGGCCAGTGGCAGACAAAAGAGCATCCGGCTGAATTCTGCACCACTGGCCTTCCCTGAACCCCATTTCCTCAAGTAGACAAGAGAGGAGAGATGTGCTGCTCTAAAAGTCAAAACATACTTAATGAGAGCTTAAAACTCCTCAGCCAATTCTCCTCCTCCTCTTCCTCCTCTTCCTCCTCCTCTCATTTCTAAGCATTCCCATTGACTTACGTTTTGATGATCCAACCAGTCAAAAACCACCTAGGATTAGCAAACCACAAATATTTAACTCTGAAAAAGCATTTCTTTTAAGGGTTCTGCTTAACAGTTACGGTTCGTATCATATATATAGATCTTTTACGGAAATATAAAAAACGCATTTCGATAAAGCTTCAGAGATCTATAGATCTAAACGTTATTTGACAGAAGTGGTGGGATGCTACCGGTGTAACAACCTTTAAGGTCCTACCTGGATCCAGAGCAGGTTATCTAAAAGGCTATCTTCTCCCCACTTCAAGGTCTGGAGGAAGAAACTCCAGATCCCATCTATACGAGACCCTGAAGTCAGCATTTGCGACCGCTGGTCAACCCGCTTACACAGAAGAAGGGCAGGTGGTGATGGAAGGCTTGGGCTTTCGGGGACACCTGCTCTCGCGTGTCTTCCTTTTTGATACTGCATTAGGTTGAATTGATGGGTGGGTAATCCTCTACGACTTTGAGGGAGGAGGGCTTTTGATAGGCAATACTGCTGGTGGTTAGCTGTGTGGGTGAGGACCAGAAATCAAGTCAAAGTGAAATAAATAAACCAGTAACGGCTTCGCCGAAAGCCTCCCAGAAGAACGGGCCATGTTCGGGAGCTGCAGAAGGAATGCTGAGCATGTTAGAAAACTCCCCAGCAATTCCATTTAATTCTCCCCATTTTTCTTCCGTCTCACAGTGGACTGTGTCTCTAGCTTAAAATAGCCTCTTTAATTGACAATAATAGATGCCTATTTAGCAGAGGAGGAAATAACAGCCCCGATGCCGCCATCCGCTGTAAAGTGTTGCAGGAAATTCATATATTTGTAGACATTTGCAAGGCTTTGGCCTTAGCATCTAACAACTGAGCAAAATGCTGCAGTTGATTCTGCCAGGCAGCGCCCTCAGCGCCCAGACAGGAAAAGGGGCGGAGGTTTGAAATTGGGCCTGTGGAGGGGCTGTTAAAGGGTCTGAGAAGCCTGAGCCTTGTAGAGGAAGAGGAGACCCCACCCTCCAACTATAAAAGTTGAGCTTTGGATTTAATGCAGAAAACACCTAGAAGAGGACCGGAGAGCCAAAGGAAGAAGGCGAAGGAAACTGCAACCCAGGGAAACTTTTCATAGACTCTTTGGATTGGAACAGGTCTGTCATTGCATGGGGTGAAAATTAATTTTTGCAATATTTTTTAGTGAGGGGCTTCTAAAAATACGTGCTTTTACACCAAGAATTCAAATCTGCTGTTATTTTTTGCAACTGCACGTTTAGCTTGGAATGGTAAATCTGCGACTGATCATATACCCTGCAAATACCGTTAACTTTATCTTGTCAAAATTACAACCTGTGCTACATAAATTAAAGGTGTTTTTTATGCATGAATCTTATCTAGCCAAGCAAAAAAAATAATAATCCATGTAGTCATAAACTAACACCAGAAAGTAATTATATGTGTTACAAGACCATTCAAGCAAGTTTCATCAAGTCTTGTTTTGATTGGTTCTTGACATCAGCCGCCGACTTGCTTCTTGGCCTCTGATAGGACCTTTCTCATGTGTCTACCCTCTGCTTGCTGCCTCTGCGACCTGTTTCACACATCTCTTTATTGATCAGTGACTGGGCCACTCTGGTACTTCAATCAATCAGAATAGAGCTGGAAGGGACCTTGGAGGTCTTCTAGTCCAGCCCCCTGCCCAAGCAGGAGACCCTATACCATTTCAGAGAAGTGATTATCCAGTCTCTACTTAAAAACCTCCAGCGATGAAGCACCCACAACTTCTGAAGGTAAAGCGGTTCCACTTGCATTGGTTCATCAGTAAATTTCCTTATTTCCACTGCAGTCAGTTTGCAGTCAAAGTTGACACCTCCTAGACATCTCCTGACCAGTCAATCAGCTCCAGCAGAGTGGATGCTCTGGCGTGAGCTCTACCCAGTGCACGGCACCACCTTCGCAGACAGTAGGAACCTTTGTAGAATCTCCTCCTTAAAGGCCTTCAAGCTTTTGTCAATGCCTTTCTTCTTAGTGAAATAGGCCAGATTATCTGCCATCACTTGAGCAGTTTTTCCTGTTTCTGGGGCTTTCTCTAGAGTGAAATGATAAAAGATATCTTTTACCCAGTTCCACTGCACACAGTAATGTTCTTCTTTGATGGCACTGGGGAATTACCAGTGTGAATTGTTCGCTGGGGAATTGCTGGTATGGAAAACTATGATATGTATGCAGTTATTTACCAAGCGCATCTAAATCATATTAAAGTAACCAAAATATCTTTACAATCCCCAAGGCATATCACAGCTTTTGAGCACACCTAATGTTTGGAAATGGAAAGTTGAAAAATTAGAGTCCCCACGACCCTCTTATAAACACTTTTAAGAGGAAGATCTAAAAATAAAAGGCAAGAATGGTAGAAAACAAGCAAGGCCCCCCATATCTTTACCCTACGCATCTCTTGAGAAAGTGAGCAGATGAGGTCTGAGTAAGTGAGGCAGCTTTGATTTGAGTGGATGTGGAGAACTTTAATTTCTGTGGCTTTGCAGCTTCCCTGCAGCCAGATGGGTCCTGGCCAGGGGCATATGGCAGAAGCCTCTTTCCATGTTTGCAGAAGCTTTCTGGGACCCCAGCAGCTGGAGGAAGCTAGCCAAGGATGAGACATTGGAGAGCATTCAGGAGCATCAGCTGGTGCTGTGTTCAGGGGCAGGAGACATCCTGCTTTGCAAAGCACAAAAGCTTCCAAAGGCATTAAATATGGAGTTTGGAATAAATTCATTGGGAAGTTCAGTTTTAGAATCAATTCTCGGTTCAAGGAATCCATAAGACTGATTGAAATAAAATAAAATAAATGGAAAGCAAGCAAACAACTGGGTTGCAAAAATGCAATTGCTGCGAAAACAGCCCCATTTGCCTGATTGAAAGTGCTGTCATGCTGTTATTAAAATATCTTTTGATGGATTGTAAATGGCGCAGATAGTCCATAAAGGAGCACAACAGGTTTTTCTTAACGGGGGAAGAAAAAAGGGGCTTCATTTTAAAGATGGAAGCAATTGTTTTGATCAGGTGCTGATTGAAATCACTTGTACCAAACAACACGTGTTCCTCCTTTTGAAACAGGTGTCTGGCTGGGATCTGATTTAGTGCATTTTAGCCATGAGATCCAATTCATCCCTGGGCCAAGAAGACAGGCTAATTGAGATATCCCATAGATATTTTTGAATGCATTATTTTGCTAGCAAAGAAGCTAGTATGTGACAAAAATACTTATTAAAGTTTTGTCAGGAAGGATTTGCACGGAAAGATTTGGAAATATTGTCAGCACGATGTTTGCACAGAAGGAATCGGATGGGAGACCCAATATATATGTAGGTGGATTGACCAAGTCAACATTATTTTTCTTGTTGCTCATCTTCTATTAAGGCTGATGTCTATTTCCACTGCTCACCAGTTCCATCTCTCTGGAGCTTTGTAGGGCCCCTTTCGCAGGAATTTTCTTGAAATGAGTGTGAAATTG